AATGTTTCACACTGGTCCTTTAAAAAGCAAAACAAATATGCTGGGGCTTCAATGTTAATGACAATGTACATAAATGAGTATATTCCTTTTCTCAGAGCTTTTGAAGTAGCTCTAGAAGTTAAGTGGAGATTTGCGAGTACCTATGTATTCAAAGGGAATAAAAACAGCAACTTCATATGGGTAAAGCATGTTTGCACACAGTGAGAAGTGGAGTTCACCAGGCATATTTATTTCTAAAGAAGTTCAAGGAAACTCTGTGTTCTGCCTGGTAGGCGCAACATGGACAAGAAGCTGATAACAGTGTCCCAAATTTGCACTGAGCTTTTATTTCAAAGACAAGTGAAATCAAATAATGCTGGTAAGTTCTATGGTAATTTTATGAAGCAAGCATCTGTTTATTTTGTTTGCTAACTGGAATAAATAGCTATACTGACCCTAGCAGGAAATGTCCAACTGGCCAAGAAACCTTTTATAATACAATTATCACCAAAGTCATCACTGATTTCATATGCTAAGGCAACTAGCTAGGCTGGTTTCTGAAAAAGTCTGTGTAGTCTTCAACACATCAGAACAGTGTGACAATATCAAAACCAGCAGCCAAATCAGTGGCCTTGGCTGCCAATATTTTTTCTATCTTATCTCAAAATCATTACTAATCAAAATTCCTACATGAGGGGCCACTTCAAAGATGTTGGGCAAAACAGCTCTTACAGCTGTGGAGCAGAGCTATGTGCGCAAATGGGCTGTTAAATATGATAAACAGGACAAAAAATGGATTGAAGCAACATGAGCTAAGAATTCTTCCTTTCCCTTTCTCCTCTGTTCCTATAACATCTACTGGCATAAAAACAAGCCCGCCTCTTGCTTGATTTCATTGGTTGCCTGGGCCCAGTGTGACAATGACGAGTGGTGCGGTCCATGCCTTATACTAAAAAGTTGAAAATATCTGAACTTTTACGCACATCTAATAACTGCTATTGTTTTCCTACTGTACCATAGGAAAACAATGGTTTGGCGATGCGTTTCTAGTGACACATCTTGGTGTGATCACCCATTGAGATGTCTTTATCTGAAGATATCACACCATTTTCTCCAACTTGATTATTTAAACATTAAACAAAATGTGTATTATATATTGTCATAATTAATGTCTTTTCTGCTTTATATTTTTCACTGTATTCACTTTCCGGATGCCTCTATCAGTGCATTTCCATCCAGCCATTTGGAAATGTTGTAAATTTAAAATAAATAAATAAAT